TATAGATTTTCCATTCAGGAGATTCAACCTTTATATATTCTTCAAGCACTGCTGTGATCGAAGATAACCACAAGAAGGCTAGCTCACACTTCAAAAGAAACACACTGCATTTTTACTGATGTGAGTAAACATGATATAGAAATCTACAAGGACACTCTTTTTTAGTATAACTATCCAAATTATAAGAAAGACAGAAAATTAACAATGAAAGAAAAAATTGCTGTTATTTCCGACAAAAAGAAATTAATATTCCTAAGATTAAATATTTCAATCCAGCAATTTTGTCTGCCAATAACAAGAAAATAAAATTTTAATTAACCCAAACTGCTAAGAATTTTCACTCACTCTTTCTGATTAAAAAAATATAAATATAGTTGATCAGAACTGGGGAGGCTGAGGGCAGAAAGGGCCCGGGGCTGGTCTGAGTTATAGAATGAATTTCAAGATAGCCTGAGCTATATACTAAGTTGCAGAATAGCCAAGGCTACAAAGAGAAAATATGCCTCAAAAATATCAAAAGAAAAAAAAAAAAACAAACAAAAAAAAAACAAAAAGCTTTTACAACACAGTAACAAATACCATGGAGTATAGGTCAGTGGTAAAATATCTGCCTAGCATAAGCAAAGCCCTAGGCTTAACCTCCAACATCACAAAAGAACTAACTAACTTAATAGTTTAGGAGTCATATAAAAGAGAACATAAGTCAGGCATGGTGGGGCATACATTTGATCCCAGCACTCAGGAGGTAGAGGCAGGCAGATCTTTGTGAGATTGAGGCCAGTCTAGGCTACATACCGAGTTCCAGGCCAGCTGGGGCTATATGGAGACCCTGCCTCCAAACAAACAAACAAACAAAAGAAAGAAAACATAATTCTAGCTACAGCACAACAAGAAAATGGGCTACAGGCTAGAGAAATGGCTCAATGGTTAGAAGCACTGGCTGCTTTCTTGCAGAGGACCTAGGTTCAGTTCTCAACACCCTCATAGCAGCTAACAACCATCCATAACTACAGTTCGTCTTCCACTCTCCATGGGCACTACACACAAGTGTTGCACTTACATACATGTAGGTAAAACACTCATACATATAAATTTTTTTTTAATTTTTAAAGAGGAAAAAAAGAAAATGAACTAAGCAATACACTACTAGCATATTAATAAGAGCCTAGTCCTAGTTTTAAATTATTAATCAGATACATCAGACAAGAAATTAATATCTCTAGGGCTGTTTTGCCATTTCTAAGTAGACCAAAAGAAACATGTATATGTTCTAAAAGAAATTAAATGAACTTCCCATTCTCTATAGGAAAAAAAAATTATTTGAATGTATCTATGTCTTTCACTATCAATTAATATTTCATATCCCATTACTAAAGTCTGACAGACAAAATGATTTTACCCAACTGTCAACAGATTCACTGAGCCTCAGAAAGATTTGCATGAATCAAGAGTAATTCAGAAGTGAAAATATAATTTGAACTCATTCCCGAACAACACTATAAAATGAAGATCGTGCCAGCAGAGTAGGACATAACCTCGAAGCAGTTTGAAAAAGTTACTGGTATGCTTTCTTTCTCCACTGGGCTCAGTACTATTCTTTTTCTGAGGATGACCAGATTTCTGAGAGCGACTTGAGCACACAGGTTGATATTTTACATATCAACTGACCTCACGTTTTTAGCAGCTCTTCGACGAGTCTGCCTTTTGGGAGCTTCATCATCGTCCTCCTCATCATCAGAGGACTCCTGCTTTTTTCTTTTTCCACGCTGAGTCTTCGGTTGTTTTTTGACTTGAGATTTGGGCACTGTTCTACAATGAAGAGAGAAAAACAAAGCAAAGACTATTTTTAATCACTTAGTATGTATTTCAAATCTGCATCATGGTTATTTCCCAGAGCACTAGCACATACAGAGAATTTACTGGGGGGGGGGGGGCAGGCAAGAGATTAGACCTATGATCTGTGCATTGGTTTGAATGAGAATGTGTCCAGGCTCTGAACACTGGGGTCCTCAATGGATGGCAGTTTGGGGAGGGTCATGGAACCTTCAGGAGGGGTGACCATGCTGGATGAGGCATGTCACTGGGGGTGGGTTTTGACAGTAGACAGTCCCACTTCCAGTTTTATCTCTTCTTGCTTTTATTCCTGCTTTAAGATGTGAGCACTCAGCTCTCTGCTCTGGCCACCTCCGCTGCCATGACTTCCCACCTTGATAGACTCTTACGCCAAATAAATCATTCCTTCTCTAAGTTGCCTTAGTCATTGTGTTTATCACAGCAACAGAAAAGTACTAACGAATACAACCTGGGGCCCCAGCACTAAAGTAAAAGCAGGAAGATCAGGAGTTAAAGGTCTGCCTCCACTACATAAGATCCTGACTCTAAAAGAAAAGAAGATGATTCCTAATGATGCTAATGTGTTTCTCATACCTAGCATAATGAACCATAAGAAACGATCAAGGCGTCAACAAATAATGGGTAAAATCAAGAATCAACCCAAGTGGAACTTTAGTCTTAAAGCTTAAACTTAAGTGGAGAACAAAACTCAGAATTTCCAGTCGGTCCTGGTGGTAAACACCCTTAATCCTAGCATTCCCTTAATCCCAACACTCAAGAGGCAAAGGCAAGCAGACAGATCTCTGGGAGTTCCAGGCCAGCCTTATCTACAGAGAGTTCCAAGTCAATATTGGCTACATAGTGAGACCCTGTCACCAAAATCAGAACTCAAAATTTCCCTAACAGAGCTAGAAGCAAGTACTATGTCCTAAAGCCAAGATTTGGTAAATTTTTCTATATATAGCCAGAGAGTAAATATTTTAGGTTTCGATGGTAAAGACAAAAAACTAAGGTATGAGTACTTTTATAAATAGAAGAAATATATTTTTCACAAAATTTTCATTGACAAAAGTTCTAAAGAAAAAGGATTTTTGGTGATGATTAAAAACAATAGAATTCTTGGGAAAGTAACATTTCACTTAATAAGGGCTCAAATTTAATGGTATTATCAAACTATAAATAATAAATTTGGGACTGGAGAAATGGTTCAGTGGCTAAGAGCACTGACTGCTCTTGCAAAGGTTCAATGCCCAGCACCCACATGGTGGCTAACAACCATCCATAACTACTGGATCTGATTTCTTCTGACCTCCCCAGGCATTGCATGACACAGGTACACTTAACTCACATGCACGCAATACATTTATCACATAAAAATAAAAATAAAAATAATAAATATTTTTTAAAAGAAGTCATATTTGAAAAAAAATAATAAATGTTCACCTATAAAAATTATTAGCTTTCAGCATAAAAAGGTTCTGGGTGTGATTTGATCCCATTCTAAGCAACACTTCAAGATAAACTTTGGGGACTCAGGAAATGGCTTTGGTGTGCAAAGTGCTTGACACATAAGCATAAGGACCTGAATTCAATGCCCAGAACCCACATAAAAAGCCAGACACAGTGGCATGTATTTATAATGCCAAAAATGGGGAACAACAGGTTCCCTAGGCTGGCTGGCTGCCAGCCAGTTCCCAGCAAGACCCTATATCAAAAAACAAGGTGGGGAGTACCTGAGGAACAATCCCAAGATTGAATTCTAGGCATGCATGCACACACACACACACACACACACACACACACCTGCATACATATGAATACACAATTTTCTTCAGGCCTGTCTATCTTCTGCCTTCCTTTGTTTATCATCAGTATCTTAAGTTGTCACCTGTTTCATCAAAACTTCCAAAACTTGATGCCTTCTCAGTCTATGTCCTTCTCTATATAAGACTCTGCTTAATATTATACACATTATATGAAAATGGTAATAAAAAATATGCTTTCTATCTTCCAAAGAGTATTTTCAGCTTAAGAAATTAGTTCTCCCAGGGGCTGGAAAGTTGGCTCAGCGGTTAAGAATACTGGTTGTTCTTGCAGAGGACCAGGGTTTGAATCCCAGCACCCACATGGTAACTAATAACTGTAGACAACTCCAGTTCCAGGGGATCCAACACCCTCTTTTGACCTCCACAGGCATTGCATGGACATGGATGTATTTATACACATGCAGGCAATATCCTCATACACTTAAAAACAAAACAAAACAAAACAAAAAACATAATTAGTTCCCAAAAGGAACTCGTAACCTAGCTATACACACAAGGAGTTTTGTTGTTGCTGCTGTTGTTGTTGCTGTTTTAAAGCAGAAGATCCAGCTGCACAAACCATATACCCTAAACAGACTGTCACAAATAAGAAAAGATCTCCACCATCAGAGAAGCTGAATAGGAACAAAGCACATTATATGCATGTATGAAAATGCCATGAAGAAGTCCATTATTTTGTATAACTAATACATGCTAATAATCATTTTTTTTAAGTCCCATGGTAAATAAGGAGGAGAGAATATTCCCTGTCAGAACTACATCCAAGCACACATTTAAAAAGATCTAAGTAGCCCAGTCATTTAAACACTTGAAGACTCGGGCTAACACAAAGTGAACCATGAATATCCAAATCCCTAAACAGGAACACCTGCCCTGAATAAAGCACTTCTTCCAGAAGACTTTATATTTCCCTGTGTAATGAAAATTAAGCTCATCCAAAAGCAGAGACTTAGTAAAAACAAGCAAAGCACCTTCTGGGGACAGGTCGTTTAGCTTTTACTTTCTTTTGCTCTGGTTCACTCTCTGCACTGGTGCCTTGCTCCTGTTCATCTTCTGAGGGTTCCCGTTTCCATTTTTCTCTGTGATCAAAAGCAAAATAAAATAATTTTTTTTTTCTACAAGAATTCTTTAAGCTAAACAATCTCACAAAACAAATCTCAGACTCATTTTCTGGAAAGAAGAACATGCCTATTTCAGTTATACTAAAAATGTATTTTAGGTCTAAATTTTGGTTGCTGCTGTTATTTTTTTTTTTTAATTACCTAATATCTATCCTACTTCAGCTCTGGTAAGAAAATAAACATAAATAAATCTATTTTCAAACCATCTGTTCTTGAGGAGAAAAATGCTGCGAATCACACTGTATCTTGTTTATCACTGTGTCACTGACAAGATTGAATCTGTTATACAAATTATATCAATGGTTCCCAAATTTTATCATACATCCCAACCACCAAAAGGACTTCATTAAAGAGATTTCTGGGGTCTTGTCACATGGTTTCTAATTCAAAAACTATGATCAGCAAAGCTTTGAATTTTAACAAATTCATACAAGATGCTGATACTGGATATAGATGTCTTTGAAAATCATTGAGAGAGGGGAGAGGGAGAGGGAAAGAGAGAGAGAGAGAGAGAGAGAGAGGAGAAAGAAGAGAGGGAGAGGAAAGAGAAAGAAAGACACAGAACACTTCATATTTTGAAGGGCTGGGCAAGTGCCCTCCCACTGACCTATATCCTCAGTCTTATAAGAAATGTTTTAAATCTTGAGAATATAGTTAAGGAAACAGTTCATGAATTTTTTTTTCAATGCTGAACCTATTACCTAACCAAATAATCTGTTCTGTTCAAGATGTAGTTTTTTAGTAACTAACGAAGTAAATGTTCTTTTGTTCCAGGAGAACTGAGAAGGATTGAAGGAGCTATAACCTATAGGTATCCTTCCCCAAACAATTTTAGTCAACTTAAAGGCTAACCAGAACGTCACCAAGACCTGGCTCATTCTCACTTAATAGCAGCAAGAGTTACCCAATACCTACTATTTGGAGCTTGTGGGGGAGGGGATATTTTCATGAAATGATAGTGTAATACTTTCAACATACATTATCCAAATTCTATCAGCACTGTGTATTTTCATGTCCATATCTCTGGTAATCTCTAACTCCTTGCAAGTCTTGCCTTTTGGTTCACCTTTGTACAGAGATGAGCACAAAGGTAGGTAAATGAAGACATCCTTAGTTAACTAAGTCATCCTTAGTTAACTAAGGAACAAGTCATATATCTCTTTCAGCCAGCCATGTAGGATACTTTTGAAGGGAGACAGTAAGACATTAAGACCTGCTATCCATGTCTCTTTAAAACAAAGACTTCCTTGTTTTATCTATTCACACTCTGCTGCCAACCTTGTTCTGCTCCCTCAAGGTCTGGTACAACAAAGAAGTCAGATGCGGTGGTGAACTCAAGAGTTCAAAAACTGCCTTGGTAACATGGAAGATTGTCTCACAAAACGAACAATGAAAAGAGAACCTAAAGAATACAAGGTGACTGCCAAGAAGGTGGAAAAAAAAGTGTCCCTGGTACATGAGGGACCGGTACATGAGTCTGTAGTCTCCCTAGGACTGTAAAATAAGTCCTGAACCATTAACCCTCCAAAGGAGATCACATGCTGAAAAAAAAAAAAAAAGCCCTCATAGGGAGGGTACAAGCTTCAAAAAACATGCACTTAAAGGTCAAGGGAACATACACCAGTTAAGAAAAACCCTGAGTCAACTGATTAGAGTTAGAGTTCTAACTGATAGAACTCCCCCAGGAGCTGAGAAGCTGAGCAGGGCCACCAATGTGGTCCACTGCTAAAAATACAGTAGACAAAAATGGCAGCAAATGCTGAGAAAGTATTTTAGGGCTAGAGTTTTCCAGTTAAATTACTAATTTATAGATATCCAGAAGAACCTGGAATCTCCCAATATAAGAATATAGAAGAAAAAAAAATTTAGAAAAACTACTGCTCTAAAGCCCTCCTCCCAGAAGAGGAAACTAAAGTCCACTAAACAGCTGCCAGGCTACACAGCAAACCCCCATCCTTAACTCTTCTCTACCATAACACACAGAAGACCAAAAACCAGGAAAAATCAAAGTCAGCATTACACATTCCAGGAGAACTTAGAGAACTAGAGATTTTCAAAGTATGTATTCGAAACTGACCACATTAGGTTTTAATGTTGAAGAACAGAGAAAAGAAAATTATTTGTCTTGTTTGGTATGGTTTTTTGAGACAGATTTCAGTATATAGCCCACCACACCTGGTGCACAGAATGATTTAACAAATGAAACTGCTACCTACTTACCAGCATTGCTAGCTTCTTTTAAAAAGCAAGTTTTGGGACAACTCCCCCACTAAGCCATATACTCTAAGTCCCACTGTGGTGAAATGGAGTCTTAGATAAGAACCTGAGTAAAAATTATTCCACTTATCTAGCATAGAATTATTATCTAGCATAAGGGACCAACAGAATTTTTGCCAATTTTCTGAGGCTGGGTAAAATAACTACCAAAATTTAACTAATGACATTCTAAGGTAATGAAAACAAAAGAAGTTAACTGGGTACAGTTATCCATTGTAAGAAAAAGGTAGAGCTGGGCATGGTGGCACACACCTTTAATCCAGGCAGAGGCAGGCAGATCCCTATTGAGTTTGAGGTCAGCCTGGTCTACATATGGAGTTCCAGACAAGCTGGGGCTACAGGGAGGCCCTGTTTCAGAAGGACCAAAAAGAAAAAAGGTAGAATATAAACTCAGAAGACAGGTAAATCAAATCTTAGCAAATATAAAGCAGGCATGGAGGCACTTTTAAATATAATGGGCCTGAATTTTGGCCAAAAGTTGCAATGGCTAGCTACTGAACATCTCTAGATGCCTAAAGAGAATTCCTTTCTCTATTGTATTTTATTTTTATGTATATGAGTGTTCCACCTGCATGTATGTAAGTGCACCATGTACACGAAATGCCCAGGGAGGCCAAAAGAGGGTGTCAGATCCCCTGGAACTAGCATTACAGAAAGTTGTTAGCTGTAGGTGCTGGAAACCAAAACTGGGTCCTCTGCAAGAACAATCAGTCCTCTTAACTGCTGAGCCACCTCTCCAGCCTCCCTTTCCTCTGCTTTAGAAGTCACATCAGGAAAAGAGGAAAAGAGCTTTCAGTAGTTGTACTCAGGACAGAATGCCTTTCATCAACAATTCTATTCTAAAACTACTAATGATTTAATTACATTATGTCACAAAGGTGTGGCAGGTTCAAACCATAGGAATAACTATGATCTCACACACACACATACAAGCCTCCGCATAGCTAGGCATGGTGGTGCTCGCCATTAATCCCAGCACTTAGGAGATAGAGGCAGGCGGATCTCTGTGAGTTCAAGGCCAGCCAGGTCTACATAGTGAGTTCCAGGCCAGCTGGGGGCTACAGGGAGAACCTGGCTCAAAAAGACCAAAGGGGAAAAAAAAAAACAAAAAAAAACAAAAAAACCAACTCTGCATAATAATGACTAAAGTATTTTAATATTGTTTGGAAGGAATTTAGAAGCAATACGTAGTATCTTTATAAGCACTATTAGGAAAATGAATCCCCAGAATTCCTACTCAACACTGACCAAATGTGGATAATGCTAATAGGTACTGATTTTTTTTTCTAAGTTCAATGATTAAAGCAGTATAAGTGGGTTAAACAACATTCAAAGTTTTATTTGTATGACTTTTAAGTCAGGGTTTACAATCTTAAATACCTACTAGGGCCAGGTAAAAACTAAAAAAAGAATGAAATGATCAAGCCCATCACTATTACATGGATCAAGATTGACAGATTTTTCGCAAAGAAGCTAGAAATAAGAGATTTTCAGCCAATCTCTCCATTTTCTTTTAAATTTATCATTGTACATGGGTATGATGTGTATATGTGTGTCCATGTGCCATGGTACACATGTAGCAGTCAAGAGAAAACTTGTAGTGTTGGTTCTCTCTTTCCACCTTTACATGGGTTCTAGGGATCAAACTCAGGTCATCAGTCTTATACAGAAAGTGCTTTATTCCCTGAGCCCTCCTGTCAGTCCAGTCACTCAAATTTCAATGTTGATAACTGGTTCAAAAAATAATGGTCCAGCTCACTGTGCTATGTACTTCTTCCATGCTTTACAAACATAATACATTTTATGACTCAGGGGAGATAAGTCTCTTTATAATCCTAAAAGAAAAAAAAATAGTCCCTTTTAAAACTGCATTCTTAAAAAATATCAACGCTGGGGCTAGAGAGTTGGTTCAGCAGCTAAGAGTAATGGCTGCTCTTGCAGAGAACCTGGGTTTGGTTTCCAGTACCCACATGGTGGCTAACCATCCATAACTCCAGTTCTAGAGGATTCGATGACTTCTTCTGACCCCCTGGGGCATTGCACGATAGGAGTACACTTACATACATGCAGGCAATACACTCATACACATAAAATATATATATTTTTAAATACCAATGTTACTAGGTGTGGTGGGGTTCATATCTTAATTCTAGCTTTAAGATAAGGCACGAGTATTGCCACAAGTCGAAGTCCTGGGCTACATGCTGAGTTCTAAATCATCCTGCACAAAGACTGTCTCCAAAAAAAAAAAGAAAGGCTATGAACTTGTTTCAGATAAAAGAAACCTGATGAGGCTGGAGAGATAGCTCAGTGGTTAGGGGTTAAGAGCACTTACTGCTCCTGTAGAGGACCCTGGTTCCGGGGGATCCAATGCCCTCTTCTGGTGACTGTGGGCACCATGCAGGTACACAGTGTACATTCATGCATGCAGGCAAACACTCAAACACATAAAATAAAAATAAATATTTTTTCTAAGGGAAGAAGAGAGGAAGGGAGGGAGGAAGCTGACAACTAAGTACAGCAGCTTCCCTAAAGTGGATTCTGTAGCAGTGGTGAAAAAAATGGGTCAACTGAGATACATTAGTGCAATGCTTAAAGTTTATGTTGAAACTACATTGCATGTGCCAATGAAAGACAATATATACTTAAGCATTTGGGAATAAATGGTCAGGATGTATGAACTTTAGTCTCAAATGGTTCAGAGAAACATCCCTGTATATATACAAACATACATAAACAGGGGCCCCACAACAATGAAGAAAATAGGACACAAGGCAGTAGTTACCATGAATCCTGGAAGACGGCAGAAGGCACTCTATACTACTTTTATTCTTACAACTTAAGTTTGACATTGTTTCCTTTAAAAACAAATCTGGGGCAAACTGGAGATGGCTCAGCTATTAAGACCACTGGCTGCTTTTGCAGAGGACCTGGATTCAGTTCCCAATACCCACATGGCAGCTAACAGCCATCAGTAACTCCAGCTTTTTTTAAAAAACCAAGTTTGGCAGGGAGTATAGTCCAGTGGTAGATGCATGCTTAGTTAAGATGAGGTCCTAGGTTCAATGCCCAGTACCCGCCATCAAACACACTAAAATTAAACTAAAATTTAAAAATATAGCTAGGTATGGTAGCACAGGGCTTTAATCCCAGCACTCAAGAGGCAGCAGCAGGCAGATTTCTGTGAGTTCAAAGTCAGCCTGGTCTATATAATGAGTTCCAGGCCAGCTGGGGCTACTGGGAGACACTGTCTCAAAAAAACCAAGATAAATAAATTAAGTAATTTAATTTTAAAAATGTATTTAGCACTTAGGAGGCAGAGGCAGGTGGATCTCTGTGAGACTGAGGCCATCCTGGTCTACATAGTAAATTTCAGGCCAGCTGGGGCTATAGGGAGACCCTGTCTCAAAAATAAATAAATAAATAAAACAAAATAAAGGTTGAAAAAAAAAAAAAAAACTAATGATTACAGCCAGTTATGGTGGCACAAACTTGCTATCTTGGCATTTTGGAGGTGGAGGCAGGAGAATCAGGAATTCAAAGCCAGCCTAAGCTACACGCCAAGTTTAAGGCTAACCCAGACTACATGAGACCCTGTTTCAGAATTCCAAAAATAAGTATTATCATTTTTAATGAACATGCCAGGAATACTACCACATTCCTTTCATTTTATCATCAGGAGGTGAGGCAAGATCACCGTAAGTTTGAGGCTAGCCTGGGCTATACAGTAAGACCCTGTCAGAAAAAAAAAAACTTAAGTATCTGTCCAGAAGCCAGGGGGGATGACAGATACCTGTAATCTCAGACTCAGGAGGCAGAACCAGGAGGATCTGCCAGAAGTTTAAGACTAGCCTGGTTTATGCAGTAAGTTTTAAGCAAGCCCTATGTTCCAGGTAAGAGTGAGACTCTGTCTCAAAACAGCAAAACATGCCGGGCATGGTGGCACACGCCTTTAATCCCAGCATTGGTCTACATAGTGAGCTCTAGGACAGCTGGGGCTACAGAGAGACCCTGTCTCAAAAAGACAAAAAAAAAAAAACCAAAACATAAAAAAATAATTGGCTAGGCACAGTGGCACACACCTGTAATCCCAGGACTTGAGGTAAAATCAGATAGAGTTCAAGGTTGGGCTGAAGAGATGACTCAGTGTTTAAGAGCATTTAACAGCTCTTCCAGAAGACCCAGCTGCAGTCCCCAACACCCACATGGCAGTCAACAACCACTTATAACACTAGTTCCAGGGGATCCAAGGGCCCTTCTGGCACTGCCAGGCACCCACAGACATTGCACACACAGGTGCTCTTACATATATGCAGGCAAAACACTCATACACATAAAATAAAAATAATTTTTAAAACATTTTTAAAGAGTTCAAGATCATCCTCAGCTATATAACAAGTCCAAGACCCTGTCTCAAAAACCACCAAAAAACCCAGTAAGACAGCTCTGCAGATAAGGACTCTGCTGACAACTATGGCAATCCCCAGGACCCACGTGGTGGAAGGATGGGCTCTAGCAAGTTATCTGATCTCCATGTATATGACCACACACACATACACACAAAATAAAAGGGTTTTTGAATTCTAAGAAAAATTTTAATCAAAAAAAAAAAACAGAGCTAAGATTACAGCTCAGTGATAAGTGCTTGCCTAGCACATGAGACCCTAGTTCAATCCCTAATACTGCCAAAAATAATAAATAAAAAAATAAATAATAAAAATAATAATAATAATGAACGCACACATATAATTTGTTATAAAGTATTTTAAATTGAAGCTCAAGAATTAAAATCTTCTGGTCTCTGAGATCTAATAAAACTACATGGAGGGGATGGCTCAGTGGATGGCTCTTTGCGAGGACCTGGGTTCAATTCCCAGCACCCACATGGAAGCTAACAATTGTTGGTAGCTCCAATTCCAGAGGAATCAGAAGCCCTCTTCTGACCTCCCCAGGCACTGCATGACACAAGTGCACTTGAAAACATACAGGCAAAGCTGGGTGTGGTGGCACACACCTTTAGTCCCAGGCAGAGGCAGGCAGATCTCTGTGAGTTCAAGGCCAGCCTGGTTTACATAGGGAGTTCTAGGCTTGTTTCACATCAAAATGTAGCCCTAAACAATATTAATTTTATCACATCAATATAAAAACAAATGAAAATGAATGCTTACAAATTTAAAATTGTTCAATAACTAAATAGGCCAAATGCCTATTTAGTAGTTATGCATATTTTTAAGAAAAAAAAGTATCTGAGCTAATTGGGCTAACCAGACATAAGAAGCTGAAATTTGCCTTCCAAGGGCACTGCCCAAGCATATGTGGAAGGCTTCAGTGCTTAGCAGAATCCTGGCAGGGCAGACAGTACCAAGCTCCTAAGAGACCTGGGACAGACTGAAGACAAAACGAAGGTTGTCCTAGAAATGAGGACATGTTCAGAACTACCGTATTAAGTAATTTCCCCCATGAAAGACTTACTGTTTTTTCAGCTGCCTCTGGCCTCTTCTTTTTGGGCTCCCACTCTCAGACCCGCTACTTGCCTTCAGTGTGTGAGGGGGGAAAAATGATTACAGACTTTAATTCACAGTGAGATTTTAGACAGAAAGAATCCTAAGTACTTTTGGTGGAGCTCACTTTTCCCTTGGAGGTCTCTCCCTTATAACCAAGCTATCTCTAAAGCCAGTCAGCTTGACACCTAGAATAGCAAAATCCAGTAAAATTTTCTAAAATGTTAAATGTTCTGTACCTACAATGTCAAACACAGTAATCCATCAGCCATGTGACTACTCACTATTTGAAATGTGTCTAATGGGACTGAGGAATTGAATATTAACTAGCATCAATTCTAAAAACCATATGTGCTAGCAGCAACCATACTGGATGCTGCAGATCTAGAACATCAAATGAAAACACCACATTCAATTGAGTGTGCCTTAAAGGCAGTACCTACTGATCTGTTCATTTCAGACTCAATTACAGAACATCATCAATCAAGAGTGAAAAGATAATAGTGTTAGGCAAAGGGAAAATTATAGTCATAGACATTTGAACATTTTTTCCCCAAAAAATGATGCAAAATGGCACACTATTCCTATTGCTATTAATCATGGGTCCTACTAAGACTGTATTAATATATAGAACAGGAAACAATCTATACAACTGTATGATTAGATATAACAAATATGGCTCAGACACTATGGGAAAGGGAAGCGCAGGCAAAGCAGCTCAGAAGTCACTCAACATCAAATGCCACAAATGCAATGCAGGTATTAGGGTGAATTTGATTTTTAAAGTACATTTACTAAAAGCCCACAGCCAACTCCCTAACCTTCAGTTATCAATTTGTAACTTTAATCAGAAGAATGTTATACAGCTAAGAACAGCAAAGTCCTTCTAAGGCAGAAAGGACATTTCACTGAGACAAGAGTATGTCTTCAGAATCTAGTATATAAACCCACTACAGAGAAAAATCCACAAAAATATCACACAATCTAAGAAAGGTCAAATGAGTCTGATTCTATAGATATGTGAATAGCAATTTCAAATATGCCCAGTGGTAGAGTGCTTGCTTAGCATGCACAAGTCCCTGGATTCTACTCCTAGCATCATTAGCAAAAAAGAAAATAAACAAACAAACAAATCTTAGTCAATCTCTCAAAATTAGATAGGGAATAAATATATCTCACACTAAAATTGAGCTAGGAAATCTAACTTACATAATTTAAATATAATAAAAACATTAAATTGAGCACTCCTCCTGTTTCCTCTCTCTGGAATAAATCCAAAGCCACTTCCATTGTTCCACTTGTTCAGCAAACAAGTCATTCAGTCAACAAAATACTAAACTTCTGAAATAGTAAACTTGTTACAATCAATTACACTCTGAGAAATGTAACTTTAAAAAGACAGAATACTGTACAATACTCTAATGAAACTTTTACTATTATGTATTTGGGTAATTTTTTACTTAACTTACTACTTTATTCACCGAAAGCTCATGTTATTGTCATTTTTAACTGCCATTCCTGAAAAGCTCAGTCCTGTTAATGGTAATGCACACCAGTCAGTCACAAAGGATGAGTGAGGTAAGATAGGGAATTTAAATATAACCCCTCCAAATGTTTCTTTCTTACCTCTTCCTTAATATTAAATCGTGATGGTTCTTGTCTGCTTCGGTTTGATCGCCTAACCCCATAAACATCAGGATATTCTTCCCACATCTGCAAAAATCAATAAATTGTGCATGAATCCTTTTTTTTTTTGGTGTGTTGGTGGGTGGGGGTGTGGTGTGGTGGTTGTTTTTGGAACGGGGTCCCCCTGGACCCCCCACGGGCCTGGATTTTTGTTATTCACCCCG